CTGAATATAAATTCAGTCTTGTTCAGAAGTTTTTTGCTATTGTCTCTACCATCTCCAAATAATAATCAAAGGTAAAAGGTAAAAATAATGATGAAATCCAGCCATTTGTGACAACATGGATGGACCTTGAGGGTATTATGCTAAGCGAAATAAGTCAGAGGGGGAAAGTCAAATACAGTGTTATCTCACTCATAAGTAGAAGATACAAACGACAAACACATGGAGACAGAGATTGGATTGGGGGTTACCAGAGGGGAAGCGGGGAGGGTGAAGGACAAAAGGGGTGATTAGGCACACGTGTGGTGATGGAGTATAACTAGTCTTCAGGTGGTGAACATGATCTAATCTACACAGAATGCAAAATATATTACAAAGTACACCTGCAAGTTATATCATATTATAATCCAATGTTACTGCAATTAAAAAAAATTAAATAAATAAATAAAAGAGTTTTAAAAATAGGTGAGTTTATTTCATCAGGTCAAACTTTCTGGAAACATCTACCATATTTAAACAATGTAGAGGTGCAAAGGCCGTAGCGTGTGCTGGAAATAGCATGTGATTTAAGATTAGATGACCTGGATTTGAGTCCTCATTCCACTAACTCTAATCCACATCAGCCTGCAGTTCAGTTTCCTCACCTGTAAAATGGTTATTATACTTACAATCAGAGGGTTACTGTAAGAAATAAATAAGAATAAGTGTAAAGGTACTTAATAAGCTGCAATAAACTCATGGGATATTATTACAAAAAAGTCTGAAATAAGGAATTTACTAATATCTACTTTTATTCACCTCTAAGAAAGTACATTGTGATTTAAGTTAGAAATACATAACACAAAGTAAAAAATACTTCCCAAGTAAAATTCCTAAAGTCAATATTTGAAGGCAAGGTTCCTGATTTTTAAGTGGAGTCAACATTTTTTTAACAAGGGAACAAACTGTTTGAAATTCTTACTAATTAAGAGCATTAATTCCTATAAGTTAATTCTTCATGAATTCCCAGTTTATGAAATCACATTCTACAAATCAGTCACCTACTGACAAAGCACATAAGCAGGGACAATTTTTTGTGGCGAGGTAGCATCCTGAATAACCAGCAGCACTACATAAAACAAATATAATTTCACAAGTAAATGGGTATGAACCTCAACAAAAAAACAAATGTGAGAAGTAAAATTTGTTAATTCACCTATGAAAGAAAAGGAGAAAAGATTACTTTGCTACCACACTTTATTTCCTAGAGTGCAAAAACACCATTTAGAAACACATCCTAAAACAGATAATTTACCTATGCCTTAGTTGAGCTAACTTTCAAGATAAAATTAGACAGAAAAATAATTTTCTTACATGCCTATGTAATCCATGACCGGAATGAAGACACACATACATGTCACACTTCTGGCCCCTTCTCAGTAAGCACAAAATGGAATGGGGGGTGTTGGAACTGTCTGAAACCTTCTGGCTCTATAATTATGGAAATAAGTGAATAGTCTCAAGTTAGACAGCTAGCAAGGCACAGAGCTGAGGTTCAAAGAGAAGGCTGTAGGACTCTGAAGTCTGTGCTCTCAGACTTAGCACTATACATACCACCTGCTAAGGAGGCAGTGACTCCATCACCACCACAATCCCTCACCAATCACTGTGACACTTATTTCTCCTCCTCTATCTCCAATTTCTGCCATAAAGGATAGGTACGGAAATCAAAATAATTATATGAAGAAGGAAAACCAGCAGCTGAGAAAGACCTGAAACATCATTTAAGTATTTTGATATTTCTAAGTCATTTTTACATACAGAAATACCAGATTTTTTTTTAATCTATCATCAAGAGGCAGGCCATAAAATCACCTTTTCATAATCACTGTGCATGCTGGCTGATCTACTCCATGACAAGTCCCAGAGACACACTCTACAGGGAATCCCTGCATGTAACTTGATGTTCTTTAGCAAACTTTATCTTATCCTCTTTGTTACCTATCTTTTCCTCCTTTCAAAAAATACTCCTAGTTAGGTACTCAGCCTTGACTCTAAACAGAGGGGGAAAAAAGGGACAAGGCAAATTTGAAATTGCAAACACACTACTGTTCACATTGTCAGCCAAAGAAATGAAATACTTAGGTATAAATTTAACAAAATATGTTCAAGACCTATGTACAAGTAAGGAAACTACAAAACCTTGATGAACAGAATCAAAGAAGAACTAAATAAATGGGGAGATATTCCATGTTCATGAATAGGAAGACTCAATATTGTCAAGATGTCAATTTCCCCCAACTTGATCTACAGATTCAGTGCAATTCAAATCAAAATCTCAGCAAGTTATTTTATGCATATTAACAAACTAAATCTACAGTTTATATGGAGAGGCAAAAGACCCAGAATAGCCGACACAATATTGAAAGAAAAGAACAAAGTTAGAGGACTGACACTACCGGACTTCAAGACTTAATAAAAAGCTACAATAATCAAGATAGTGAGGTATTAGTGAAAGAACAGACAAACAGATCAGTGGAACAGAACAGAGAGCTCAGAAATAGACCCATGGAAGTATAGTCAACTGATTTTTGACAAAGGAACAAAGGCAATACAACGGAGCAAAGATAGTCTTTTAAATAAATGATGCTAGAACAACTGGACACCGACATGCAAAAAAATGAATCTAGACACAGACTTTACACCCTTCACAAAAATTAACTCAAAATGGATCACAGATCTAAATGTAAAATGTAAAATTATAAAACTCCTAGAAGATAACATAGGAGAAAACTAGATGGCCTTGGGTATGGAGATGATGTTTTAGATAGACCACCAAAGAGAAAACCCATGAAAGAAAGAATCGATAAGCTGGACTTCATTAAAATTAAAAATTTCTGCTCTGCAAAAGACAAGGTCAAGAGAATGAGAAGACAAGCTACAGACTGAAAGAAAATATTTACAAAAAATATCTAATAAAGGACTGTTATCCAAAATATGCAAAGAAGTCCTAAAACTCAACAATAAGAAAACAAACAACCCACTTAAAATACGAGCCAAAGACCTTACAGACACGGGACCAAAGAAGATATACAGATGGGAAATAAGCATATGAAAAGATGATCCACATCATATGTTATCAGGGAAATGCAAATTAAAATAACGAGGGGACAGCCCGGTGGCGCAGCAGTTAAGTTCGCACATTCCGCTTCTTGGCGGCCTGAGGTTCCCCGGTTCAGATCCCGGGTGTGGACATGGCACTGCTTGGCAAAAAGCCATGCTGTGGTAGGTGTCCCACGTATAAAGTAGAGGAAGATGGGCATGGATGTTAGCTCAGGGCCAGTCTTCCTCAGCAAAAAGAGGAGGATTGGCAGTAGTTAGCTCAGGGCTAATCTTCCTCAAAAAAATAAATAAATAAAAATAAAATAAAATAAGATAACGAGGAGATACCACTACAGAACCATTAGAATGGCCCAAATCCAAAACACTGACAACACCAAATGCTGGTGTGGATGTGGAGAAATAGGAATTCTCATTCATTGCTGGTGGAAATGCAAAAGGGTACAGCCACAATGGAAGACAGTTTGATGTTTTTTTACAAAACTAAACATATTCTTATCATAGCATCCAGCAATCATGCTCCTTGGTATTTACCCAAAGGAGCTGAAAACTTATATCCTCATAAAAACCTACACACAGATGTTTATAGGAGCTTTATTCATGATTGCCAAAACTTGGATGTCCTTCAACAGGTGAATGGATAAACTGTGGTACATCCAGACAATGGAATACTATTCAGTGCTAAAAAGAAATGAGCTATCAAGCCATGAAAAGATATGGAGGAAGTTTAAATGCATATCAGTAAGTGACAGAAGCCAATCAGAAAAGGCTACATACTGTGTGATTACAAGTAAATGACATTCTGGAAAAGGCAAAACTATGGAGACAGGAAAAAGATCAGTGGTTCCTATGGGTTGGAGGGTGGGGGGAAAAATAAATAGGCAGAGCACAGAGGATTTTTAGGGCAGTGAAACTACTCTGTATGATACCATAATGATGGATACATTTCACTATACATTTGCCCAAACCCACAGAATATACAACATCAAGAATGACTCATAATGTAAACTCCGGACTTTGGATGATTATGATGCATTAGTGTAGATTCACCAATTCTAACAAATGTACCACTCTGGTGCAGGATGCTGATAACAGCGGAGTCTGTGCACGTGTGGGGCTAGGGAGTATATGGGACACCTCTATACCTTCCTCTCAATTTCAGTGTGATCTTAAAACTCCTCAAGAAAAATAGTCTTAATTAAAAACAAAACCCAACTAAGTACTTTCACCATATATATGTTGTAAGGAATTTTAAATACATCATGGAGGGGAAGGTATTCTGTTAATGTAAATGCAAAATAAGATATACTAGAATCCGTAAGTTCTGGTTATTCAGAATCCATTCATTTAGTCAAAAATACATGAGTCAGTACCATGTACTAGGCATAGCCCTATGACCCAGGGATATATCAGTAAGCAAACAGCCAAACTACCCCTGCACCCATGGAACTCACAAGTCAGTAAATATTTACTAACCCCTAAATTAAAAAAGCATAAAACCCAACAGCTAAAAACATATACACTGACTGAATAATGGTACACTGTAGCAAAAAAAAAAAAAAACTCCACAAAAAAATAGCTCTCAAGAAGGGTTGTACTAATTCATACATACACAGTACATGATGTATGAGGATCTCTCTCTCACTACACAATCATCAGCATTAAATATTATGTAAACTTTTAAAAACTCAATTCAAATATTATTAAACCATATATCCTTCCCATTGTTTTGCTATGCTTATTTTATCTTTTAAATAATTAGCTCTGTTTTGGCATTTTCTATTGTATGTGCTGATCTCTATTCCTATTTTTGTGAGTGTCACACTGCTTTGTAATATGTTTAATTTCAATTAGGACTTCACTTTTATATTATGAGAGTTTTCATTATAACACGCCTTGATAAGGTGCTCACTTCAGCAGTACATATACTATAAGTGGAGCCATACAGAGAAGGTTAGCATGGCCTCTGTGCAAGGATGACATGCAAATTCGTGAAGCAATCCATACTTAAAAATAATAATAATAATACTGATATGCTGTAATAAATAGGTCTGAAAAAATAAATAGGTTACAGCAAGACAACTAAAGCAGAAAAAACTGCTAAATCCCTCAAAATAAATGACAGCCATTTCAGAGCAATGAGGCTGGTGTGACAAGCTTTGAGCAGGTCTACAGCTAATTCATTGAACACTAATTTGTCAGAAATTTCCTGCTGACTTTACACAAAAGTTAACTCTCAATTAAATCCCTGAATATAGAGTTTCAGAAATAACTTGATCAACTTTATATTTTATTTATTTATTTTTTGGGGTGAGGAAGATTGGCTGTGAGCTAACATCTGTTGCCAATCTTCTTCTTTTTGCTTGAGGAAGAGTGGCCCTGAGCTAACATCTGTGCCCATCTTCCTCCCCCATTTTATAAGTGGGACACTGCCACAGCATGGATTAATGAGCAGTGTGTAGGTCTGGGCCCAGGATCCTAACCTGCTAACCCTGGGCTGCTGAAGCAGAGTGTGCGAACTTAACCATTATGCCACCAGGCCAGCCCCTCAATTTTATATTTTACTTGTTACGTTCATATAAGAGTAATTTATGGTAAAAAATTTATGTTTAGGTAATTCAAGAAACTCTTTCTATGAGATGAGAAAGCATAAACTGGCAGGCTTTTTTCTTAAAGGTACATAAAAGAAGGTGTGTTTTCTAATTGATAACATCTTAGAATCACTGAAATACAATAATACGTTTAGCCCCTGCAGTGACTCTATGAGTTAAGTATTACTATCATGATCATTTTTACAGGTGGGAAAACTGAAAGGTTAACTCACTCACCCAAATACATAAAACTAGTAAAATATCAAAGTTAACCTGGATCCAGAAATCTGCCTCTTCTGTGCACTATTAACTCTTCAAGGAATCAACTGACTATTTAAGTTTATCCACAACAGCATCTCCCGACTTACTCGAACACTGCTCTACGAGATTATTTTGAGCAGAATAAAGGACAGAACAGTTCAGCACTTGTCAACCTACCTGTCTGCAAGTGGAGTGGGAGAGAGAAGAAAGAGCTGAGGGGCTGGCGGAGTCCCCAAAGCCCCAGGCCCTGCCCCCATCACCTTAATCCACAGCACCTTGTTTGGAAAGCACAACTATGGATGAGGTAGCTGGTAATCTGCCACTTTACATTTCTACAACACATCTGGGGCTTTCTTAACAATCAACCAAGGAACCATCTTCTTTATGTTTTCAACAGACTATAAAGGAATAGTTTGCAAAAGGACAGATCATTGAATAATAACTGGAAATTCTTCTATATAAAAGACATAGTTGTATTCAAGTAACTAAATCTTTTTAAACACAAATATCTGACGAGTATTTTATTTACACTAATGAGCCAATTTACAAATTGCCAAAGCATACTTATTTTTTAGTTTTTACAACTTAAAAAATTTTTGCTCAGAGAGAAATGGCAGATTTGGGCTTTATCTATGGCTTTCTCAAAGTGAGTTCCTGAAAATGAACAAGGCTAGAAAGAGAAGTAAGGACTAGATAGATCCTAGTTAAAGGAGGGCCGAAAATGAAAACAAAATGTTTAGTTTCCTCTATTTAGTATAAGTGAAAATGTTAGTTATTCCTGGAAAGACAAAGGGAACAACTTTATAGTCCTTACCATACTCCATACTCAAGGGTCCTCAAATGCACAATGTGGGCAGCCCTCTGCCCTCACCACCACCTTACCTCACACCCCACCCCTTTCAAACTACACATTGGCCTATGGGCCCAAGAAAGGAAGCCCTTTACCAAAGAAAAAGAGAAACAAAGTTTACCTGGCTTGTGCTTCCAAGGGCCCAGATGGCCATTTAAGAATTATACTAGGTTATCCTTCATTACGCGTGATTTTCATTGTGATCTGCCGCCCCCATCATACTCTCTTTTATTTCCTTAAATAGATTCAACATACATATACTACATTCTTTATGTGATAATTCCAACAACTGCACGTTTGCTGGTTCAAAAACAAATTCTGTTACTTCTGCTTACCCGGGCACATACATTATATGATTTTTTTTAACTGTGTATTCATTTTCCCTGGAATTTTAACTCTAGAAAATCTTTGATGCCTGGGTGTAATGTGTTTTTCCTTTAGAGAGGATGGAATTTGCCTCTGTGATATAGCAGTGGAACACTTTTCTAAATACTTTCACACATTAACTCATTTAATCCTTGCAACAACCTTATAAAGTTGCTCTTCATGTTTAAAAAAGATATATCTAAAACATGAGACACAGAAAGCACAAAAGTAAAAGAAAGGAAAATTACATCCCAGGCAATTACCAGTCAAAAGAAAGTGTTTCCAGATGTCAGTCAAGGAGGGTCCAACAAGGGGTCAGTGGCTGGCAGTGCAGAGACAGCAGCGGCAGGCTTCGTGGCCCCAGTGACACTTCTGTGCTGGTGCTGGGTTGAGTCAGGCCCATGCCTGAAGGAATATATCTGCTAAGCTATGAATCTGGTTTTATTGAGGAGCATCTGGAAGAGATACCCCTCCAGCCCAGAAACCTTGTGAGAAAGTAGATTTGCACCTGTTCACACTGCCAAAGAGGAGTTTGCTTTTGGCATCTTTGATGACAGCTACAAGATCTTCACATTCACCCCCAAGATGCAGCCAAAAAGCTGTGGAGAGCTAGAGAAGCAGCAGAAATAAGTGCCAGTTCCAAAATATATAAAGAACTACAACTACACCAAAAAACCAGACAACCCTATTCAAAAATAAGGACTCGAATAGACAACATTTCTCCAAAGAAACATAAACAGCCAATAAGCACACAAAATGATGTTCAACATCATTAGTCATTATGGAAATGCAAATCAAAACCATAATGAAATACCGTTTCAAATCTACTAGGATGCTATAATAAAAAAAGAGAAAATAATAATTGTTAGCAAGGCTGTGAGAAACTGGAACCCTGTGCATTGCTAGTAAGTACGTAAAATGGTAGAGCCACTATAGAAATTGTTTTGGCAGCTTCTCAAAAGTTTAAACATAGAACTACCACATGATCCCAAAGAATTAAAAGCAAGGGCTCAAACAGATATTTGTACACCAACGTTCACAGTAGCATTATACACAACAGCTAAAAGGTGGAAACAACCCAAGTGTCCATTGATAAATGAATGGACAAACAAAATGTGATATACACATACAACAGAAAATTATTCAGCCACAAAAAGGAATGAAATTTTGATATACAATGCAACATGGATGGAGCCTGAAAACACTATGCTAAATGAAAGAAGCAAGACAGAGAAGGACAGATATTACATGATTCCACTTATATAAGGTACCTAGAATAGGGAAATTCATAAAGACAAAAGGAGAACAGAGGTTACTAGGGGTAAGGGGAGAAGGTGATAGGGTGAATTATTGTTTAATGGATACAAAGGTTCTGTTGGGTATGATGAAAAAGTTTTGGATATAGACAGTAGTGACTGTTACACCACATTGTGAATGTATTAATGCCACTGAATTGTACAGTTTAAATGGTTAAAATGATAAATAATGTTACATATACTTTCCCACAGTAAAAAAATTTTTTAAAAGCAGTGCTAGTGATTAAATAATTAATAAATAAAAATTAAAAGGAGAGAAACAATACAAAGTATGTTTTACAACCACAATGGAATGAAATTAGAAGAAAGATATAAATTTGAGAAATTCACAAATACCTGTAAATTAAACAGTGCATTACTAAACGACTAATGGGTCAAAGAAGAAATCAAAAAGGACATTAGAAAATACTTTGAGATGGAAGAAAATAAAAATAAAAACATACCAAAGATAACAACATACCAAAATTTATGAGATATAGCTAAAGGAGTGCTTACAGAAAAAATTATAGCTGTAAATGCGTGTATTAAAAAAAGAAGAAAGATCTCAAATCTAAAGCTTAACTTCCCACCAAAGACACTGGAAAAAGAAGAGCAAGCTAAACTTAAAACAAGCAGAAAGAAGAAAATAATAAAGAGCAGAAAATAAATTGATGAAACAGAAAAGAGAAAAAACAATAGAGAAATTCAATGAAACCAAAAGTTGGTTCTTAGAAAATATCAACAAAATTGACAAACCATTAGCTAGACTGACCAAGAAAAAAAGAAAGAAGATTTAAATTGCTAAAATCAGAAATAGAAGAGGACATTCTGGATGGTCCCTGGCTTATGACGGTTCCACACAGAAGTTTTTCACTTTATGATGGTGTCAAAGTGATAAGCATCCAGTAGAAACTGTACTTTAAATTTGAATTTTCATCCTTTCCTGGGCTAGCAATATGTGGCATGATCCTCTCTCATGATTCTGAGCAGCAGCAGTGAGACACAGCTCCCAGTCAGCATTGAAATCACAAGGGTAAACAACCAATATACTTAAAACCATTCTGTATCTATACAACCCTTCTGTTTTTCAATTTCAGTACAGTGTTCAATAAGCTACATGAGAGATATTCAACACTTTATTATAAAATAGGCTTTGTGTTAGATGATTTTGCCCACATGTACGCTAATGTAAAAGTTCTGAGCAAGTTTAAGGTTGGCTAGGCTAAGCTATGATGCTCAGTAGCTTAGGTGTATTAAACGCATTTTTGACTTATGGTATTTTCAACTTATGATGTGATTATCAGGACACAACCTCACTGTAAATCAAGGAAGATCTGTACTACCAACTTTACAAAAATAAAAATGATTATAGAGGAATAAGAAGAAAGATTGTATGCCAATAAATTAGACAACTTAGATGAAAGAGACAAATTCCTGAAAAGACACAAACTACTGACAATGACTCAAGAAGAAATAAACTATCTGAATAGAACTATAAAAAACAAAGATATTTAATTAGTAATCAAACAACTACCCACAAAGAAAAGCCAAGGTCCAGGTGGCTTTACCACTGAATTTGACCAAACAGCCAAAAAAAAAAAAAAAAAAAAAAAAAAAAATCAACTAACACCAATTCTTCACAAACTCT